GAGAGGGGCTTAAGCACATTTTGCGACCACATAAAAATCTTGCGGTACCCAATAGCCACTTTTACTCCGGCCTCTAAGATCTTCCTCACAGTACGGAGATGTCCATACAAAGCACAATAGGTACAATAGATGGGGTTGAACATTGTTATAACAACAAACAGATGTAAAGCCACTCCTTCAGGGGAAGTTCTAGGGAATTAACAAGGACAAGATCTCACCTGAGGGTTCAGCACTCCAGATTACTAGGAGATACACTCAAGGGCGGATTCCATCCAGGGTATATTGCTTTCTCCTCTCCTCAGCCAGTAATCCATTTAAACAATTATAGTAAATTTACTTCTTATAATATTTCTAGTCATTTTGTATGAATACAGTAAGAAATACATTAAGCTTAAAGGGTGGCTCTTCCTAGGGACCTCTCACTATATATCCCAGAATAGTCCTCAAGCCAGGTTAGTCTTTCCTAACTCCAGCAGGGTCCTTATTCAGTTACTTCTTTTTGGGTCATGACAGAGTTTGTTCCATAAGCTCTTAACTTATTATACTTATGGTGCTTAGCTTGTCCCCTTTTGATGCCAGGGCAGCTTACAGCTTTCCTTGGGTCCATCCTTGTCTCTCGCTGGGACCCTCCTTTTGGGGGTGTTAAGTCAGGTAAAATGATGGATGCCCAGGAGTATTATTTCTGAGTGTATTAATTCCCATGTTACAAAAACATAGCGTCAACTGTCTTCTTGTGTCTATACAAAAAGGACACTGTTGAAGCTACCATGCAAATGACATAAAGGAAAGAGAAAAGCAATATAGGATTCTTAGCACTTGATGGAATTGGGTGTGCCTCAGGGGCACTGTTGTGGGAGTAACTCAATAAATCAAAGCCCCCTGCAGGAGGAGCAAGGATAAACCAATGTTATGCAACAAAGCCCTAAGCCATGCTGAGTGTGACCAAAACAAACAAAGAGAAAAAGAAAATCACTGAATAGTATCATGAAACTCAATGTTGGTTCTTCCAAAAGAAGAAAATTTCCCTTTTAGCTAAAGTGGAAAGAGAGAAAGGGAGAGAAAGCAGGGAGGGAGAAAAGACATGGATAAGTAAAATTAGAAATGAAACGGGCCATAAGCACAACCCAACATAAATAAATCCTATCAGAAGAGACTATGATACACAATTATATGTGAAGTTAGAGTATGGAAGAGAGGGGTAAAGTCTTATAAACATTTAAATTATTTACAACGACTCAAGAAATCAAAATCTTACCAGACATATAACCAAGAGACTGAGTTAGCAATAAAAAAAATTCCAAAAAAAGAAATTATAGAACCTAATGACTTCATTGGTGAGTTCAACCGAACGTTTAAATGGAAATGAAATACTGGTTCTTCTTAAACTTTCTAAGACAGCAAAGGAACATTCCCCAATTCCTACTCCAGAGCATCTTCCATGATCATAAAGGCACCACAAGGAAACAAAACCACAAAGGTGAATTTCCCTTATAAAAAAGATGCAAAAATCCTCAACAAACTACCAGCAAACCCACTCCAACAGCATGTTAGATGGGGTCTACAAAATACCAGTAGGATTATCTTAGGTACAGAAGCTGGTTAGAACATAATAAAAAAACAATCGATACATCACATTACTAGATTGAAGGACAAAGTCACAGGAAACCCAGCATCTCTTCAAAATAAAAACACTGAACAAATTAGGAGCGTGAGGAAATTTTCTCAACACGGCAGATATGTCTGCCAAAAATCCACAGCTAAGCCAGACTCAGCAGGGAGCTCCTGTGAGCACGTGCGTGAGGAAGGAAGCAGCACAACTGTCTCTAGTTACAGGCAACGTGCTTCCAAAGGGCCAGAGAATCCGACAGAACGCACGCGTATGCACACACACGCACACATGCATACACACATACACATGCACACACCCATGCACACACACAATCGTTTTTTGTTTTTTGGGTTTTTTGGGGATTTTTTTTGCTTTTTGGGTCACATCCAGTGATGCGCAGGGGTTCCTCCTGGCTCTGCACTCAGGAATTACCCCTGGCGGGGCTCAGGGGACCATAAGGGATGCTGGGAATCAAACCCAGGTTTGCCACCTGCAAGGCAAATGCCCTACCCATTGTGCTATAGCTCCAGCCCCATAGTCATGTTTCTGTTACCAGCAATTAACTCTCTAAAAAGAAACTAAAAAAAAAAAAAAAAGTCCATTTACAACAGCATTCACAATAATACTGGAGACTACATTTGGCTGCAGAGGAAAGATTTCTGCATCAAAACTAAAATACTGCTAATATAAACAAAAGATGTAAATCAATGGAAAGACACACCAAGATATACTGGAAAGATAAGACAGCGGGGAGGGCAGGGCGCTTTCCCTGCTCGCAGCCAACCGAGGCTCCATCCCCAGGACCCTATTTGGGCCCCCTGAGCACAGAGCTAGGACCAGAGCACAGCCAGTTGTGGCCTCCAAACCAAAAAGAAAGAAAAGCCCCACCATGGTCTAGAAGGCCATGTCACTGGAACACCAGTAAAGCCCGAGTCAACACAACCCCTAACCAAAACCCTCATAGCGCAACCAGATGAAGCATTTAAACAGATATTTGAAAAGACTATTTGAATAGCTATTTCTCAAAGACGCTCAACATCATTATTCATTAAGGAAGAGTGAAAATTCCTCCCGCTGACCTCGGCCTGGCCAGGAGCCTGAAGACACACAAGTGCTGCCGTGGTTTTTAAAGGGTTGTGTGTGTGTGTGTGTGTGTGTGTGTGTGTGTGTGTGTGTGTGTGTGTTTTCAATAGAAGGACTAGTTAAAATTCCAATCTCCCAAATTCATAACGGTGAAGTAATGTTAGATTTTTGCATCCGTAAGAAATATCAATGAGTGGAGTTCATGCACAATTCAATCAGCTAATCAGTGGCTGAAGAAATAGCAGTACTCTTACATAAAAAAAAAAAAAGAAATATCAATGAGAGAGAGGGGAAAAATACCTGCCACAGAGGCAGGCTGAAGAGGGGGGTGGAGGTGGGGGTGGGTGGAAGGGAAACTGAGGACATTGGTGGTGGGAAATGTACACTGGTGGAGGGACAGGCGTTGGAACACTGTATGGCTGAAACCCAATTGTAAACAGCTTTGTAATGGGCTATTTCATGGTGATTCAATAAAAAAAGGAAGAAAAAATTTCAAATGGTGATTTAATTTTAAAAAAATGAAAAAGAATCTCAAATGCCCATTCTTTTAAACATGCTCACTGCTCTTCTAATATCATCCCTTCTACTTTCATTAGAAGATTCTAGATTTCACAGCAGAGATACACAGACCCTAAAGTCAGGAAGCATCAGACCTTCCACTTGGTAATAATGAAGAAAATAGAAGGAAAAGGTGTGGCTAAGTAATGCCTTATTAACTATGAGTTAACTGTAGCATCGCAGAACAGTTCCTAGGGCAGGAAAGTAAAACATGAATTGCAGATCTACGGTGAGCCAACTCAAATGTCACCTCTTCAAAGTAGGCCTGTTTCAGGATCAGAAATAAAAAATATACGCGTAACAATGCAAGGATAATTATCACTCAACCGTCAGCGTGAAACAAAGCAACAGTAAATCTCATGAATGGAAATAAATGTGTCTAGAAGACTCATCTACGCCCAGGGCCTGGAGTGGTGCTATGGCGGGGAGGGGGTCTGCCTTGGACGTGGGCGACCTGGGTTCCATCCCCAACACCCCTTATCATCCACTGTGCCAGAATTCAGGTGAATACAGAGCAAGGAGAGACCCCTGAGCATCCCCAGGTGGGGCCCAAACCACCTCTCCCCAAAACAGTTCACAGAAAAACCCAAACATTTATTCAAGCCTAAACTCCAAATAGAAGAAAACTGCACCCAACTCCCCTGAATGCTTCTGCAGAGCCTCAATTTTATAATGCAAATAGGAGGCACTTCAGCCTGAACATGCCTGGGAACAAGTTAATCCTGTCTCAGCCTCGTACCATAATCAGGGAAAAAAAATTAAGTGCAGATAGCCTTGGGCGTAAAGAAGAAATATTATAAAATATAAATGCACCCATTAAATTGCCTTTGTAGTTTTCATCATAAGAGCCCTATGGGGCTGTGGTAGCAATAGCCAAAACATGTAAAAACTACTGAGAACTTTCTAGAACTTCATACCACCATTCTAATTTTTTTCCCCTAGTCCATCTTTTGGGGGAGGAGAGGGTCGGAGGGCACACCAGCAATGCTCGGGGCTCACTCCTGGTTTGGTGCTCAGGAATTACTCCTGATAGGCTCGGGGTCATGTACGGATGCCAGGGATTGAACCCTCCCAGCTGGACGACAGCCCCGCGCCCCACCCCGCGCCTCTAAAGCCAGAATGTAGATGAAACTCTCATGCTGAAGATCCCCGTGGACTCTACCGCTCGGTCAGCTTCTATTTAAGCCAGCAGAGATGCGACCACTGTCACACACCACAGCCCTCCGCTCTACCAGCTGTCAGAGGGAGCATGAGAGGCGACCATCCTATTTGTCCATGGGCAAAGGAACTGTTCGTGTTTATTTTTCAACCCGGTGTTGGGGCTACCAAGCAAGCCAATCAGCTGCCAGCCCTGCTCATTTACGACAGCCACTGAGAAAATGTCAGACCCCGTTCTGGTCAGAGGGTGGTCTCAAGGTCTGGGGGCAGGGCTGAGGGTGGGGGTGGGGGGCATGCTTTTCAGCCATATCTGGTTTATGCCTTTTCCCTTCTTGGGATCTCGCTCTCTTGCCTAGAAAACCGGACAGGTTGATGGGTTCTGTATGGGGGCTTCTGCCAGAGCGGAGACAGTGCCAGCCTGCACGCGGACGGCAGCGCTTTACGTGGCCACCCAACTCTTGGGGAGAGACCGATGAGCGTGAGGGGTGCCTGTGGCCACCCAGGCTGCAGGACGCTCCCAGCGCAGCCTCGCCCCCAGCAGGGCCCTCACCGACACCCCCTCCCCACATGGGCCAGGGAGCAGGGCACCCACCTCTCGCTCTCATTGTTGCCCAGAAAAGTCCCAAACTGTGAGGCGTAGGCGTGCTCGAAGAGGAGGATGAGGAAGCTCTCGCCAAACTCGAAGGAGCAGGGGAATTGGCGCAGGATCTGCCACACGCAGTCCAGGAAGAGCAGGAAAACGGGCGCCTCCCAGCGCTGCCTGCTGGGGCCATAGGCCGACTGTGCACAGCGCTGCTGGAACGGGTGCCCAGCCTGGGGGAGACAGGGGACAGGTGGCCACCACAGTCTCCTCAGCCCACCATCTCCTCAGTCCCACAAGTCTCTGTCAGCCCCACAGCCTCCTCAGCCCCAGTCTCTGTTGTAAGGGCGAAACTGATGCCATGACAGGCAGCAGATATGGGAAAAATCAAGTAGGCCTCAGGTTCAGTTCCTGGAACTGAAACAGATTCCGTTTCCCAGCAATGAAACAATGCATACTTAGCCAACCTGAACCCACCTAGGGAAGTTCTTGGGCTCAGCAAGTGGGCTCAATTAATCAATTCTCACAATGCCCCAGAAGTTGCTTTCTGTTAACCCTAAAAGAACGAGAAGTCTATGTAATCGTAAAATTGGTGCTGATACTGGAAATTATTGTTTAATTGTTGCCTAACCACTGTTACCCTAGACACTTGCCAAAACACCTTTGTTTGGTAACTAGGATTTTTTTTCTGAAACAATAAGGCATGTACTGCGTATGTAATCAAACCCTATATAAACCGCTTGCTGTCTAAAGTCAGGGTCGCTATCAAGAGACCGCTCTGTGGGTGAGGTAGTTGACCCCAGTATATTGGAATAAAACTCCTACTGTTTTTGCATTATCGAGTTAGTGCTTCTGTCCGTCCCACCGCTTGGGAACCCAGAAGCCCGGGCTTAACGCTGTCAGTCCCACAGCCTCTGTCAGCCCCACAGTGTCCATCAGCCCCACAGTCTCTGTCAGCCCCACAGTGTCCGTCAGCCCCACAGTCTCTGTCAGCCCCACAGTATCCGTCAGCCCCACAGCCTCCTCAGCCCCACAGTCTCCGTCAGCCCCACAGTCTCTGTCAGCCCCACAGTCACTGTCAGCCTCACAGTCACTGTCAGCCCCGTATCAGCCCTTGAGTCAACCCTCACCTGCAGCCACTCTCTCTCGATCAGAGCCTCAAACCCGTGCACGGTCCGGCTTCTGGGGTCCAGGATGATCTGGGCCAGGGAGGTGACCTGCAGTGTGGAGTCGGTGCCTTCAGAGCCATGGATCAGGACAGAGGCGCCTTCCCTGCAGGAGAACCAGAGTCAGTGGGTGGCATCTAGGGCACCCTCAGGCCTACATACAAGCAAGCAGCAGCCTGGGAAGGATGGAGTCCGTCCCCATCTCCAGGGGTGCACGGAGTCCTTCCCGGTCTCCCCACATGCGCACGGAGCCCTTCCCCATTTCTTCCCATGCTCCTCATCTCTCTGCCCCGGAACCTGGTCCTTTGTCTCCGTATCTCCCAGAAGAATGAGTTCTGCCTATCACACAGCACTGGTATACAGACCAGCACCCCTGGGGATCTACATTTTCCCAACAAACACACAGGAAGTGGTCCCCAGTGGCTCTGCTCGCTGAGACCAGCCCCTGGCAGGATCCCCCACTTTGGCAAACAATGGCCTGAAGTGACACATTCCATCACCCGGCTTCTCTTCAACCGTGAAGAAGTTGGATCATGGGGCTAAAGCAATGGCACAGCAGGTTGGGCATTTGCCTTGCATGCGGCCAGCCGGGGTTCAATTCCCAGCATCCCATAGGGTCCCCCAAGCACCACCAGGAGGAATTTCTGAGTGCAGAGCCAGAAGTAACCCCTGTGCATCACGGGGTGTGACCCAAAAGAAAAAAAAAAAGGGAAGCTGAATCACTCTCTGACTTGGAGGTACCAAGAAACGGACTCAGGTGCCTGGCAACGTCCCCTGCACCAACTGCAAAGGTGAGTGCGGCTCATCTGTGCAAGGGCATCAGGGGCTCTGACACCCCCTTCTGCCAGTGACTTCCAGGCCCAAGTGTGGCATGTAGAGAGGCACCCCGACACCTTGCCGCGGTCTTGCACTGACTCTGCCCAGGAGGGGAGAGACCAGAACCAACGGTGCCCTCCAGGGCCTCACAGACACGGGCAGGGACATCCGCCCGCTGAGAAGACAGACAAACTGACAACATCGGGAAAATGGGCTGACCCAGAGCTCAAGGGTCTTATGCAACAAGCACCGGGACCCTTCATGCTCAGGAGCCAGATCCCACACTCTCACTCAGTGCCACAGGCCCTGTGCGGCCACGTTTTCAGACCCCAGGGTGGGCCCTGGAGCCTGGTGAGTGCAGGGCGGGACCTCACCTGTCGATGCACTGGGCGGCCAGGCAGGCAGTGGTCAGAGTCTCCTTGACGTGCGTCAGCCAATTGGAGGCCTCCAGCTTGCTCAGCCATCGGTCCATGTTCTGGGACTGGTCATTACAGGCCTCTACCAGCTTCACGAGGCTCTCCTGAAGGACGTGGTACCTGGGGCAACGACGAGGCACCAAGGGCAGAAAGCAGAACAGTGAGGGAGGGACAGGGCAGCCAGGAGCAAAATCCACGCGCAACTGCCAGAACATTCCCCAGGGACCCTCAAAACACTCCCTAGGCTGGCTGCAGAGAGGCAGCCGGCTCCCGTGGCTCAGCTCCCCAGCAGGGAGAGGCCTGCATGTGGCAGGTAACGTCTGTACCACCATGACCCTTTCTTGCACCACTGCCTCCTGCCCAGAAGACCCTCCCGGTCACTCTCATCATAACGAGGTGTGTGAGTGGGACGAGGGAAGACGAAGCCTCTCAGCACTCCTGGGAGCACATCCATGTCAGGAAGCCACTGCAGGAGCAGAGCCGCCCTGAAGAAGTCGCTGCCTGGCCTGGGCTGCCCCAGACTCCCACCGGGGCTCATTTCCGGCACTCTCGGAATGGGAGTGACTCGGGATTCGAGCCCGCCTACCTCTCGATGGACTTGTGGATGCGCCTCCACTGCGGGTAATGTGCCTCCTGCTCGAAGCCGCCGCCCCGAGCCCGGGCCTGCTGAGCCGCGCCCAGGGGCCGGGTGTCCACGATGTAGCCGCGCTTTCCCGCCCTCAGCGACGCGTTGATGAGCTTCTCGTCCTCACGGCAGCGCCGCCCGCTGGTGCCTGTGAGCGGCTGGCCACTGCGCATGATCACCTGGGGGGCACGGGGGCTCGAGTGTGGCCGCGGCCAGGCCACTGCTGTGGGCCGTGCACGAGGGACACCCGCTCGTGGCAGCCCCTTCGACTCCTGGCCCTTCCCTTGCCCTGGGCTGTGGTGGTGAGACAGTGAGACAGACCGTGGTGGAGAGGGCCCAAAGGCAGGACACTCACATAATTGGGGCTGGCAGGGTCACTGGGGGCCACAGAGGGGCTTGGGGAGGGACCCATGAGAACGCGGTCTGCTCGGTGGGGACCTGATTCCATTCTCCCCAGCGCTGCCAGCCTGGCCCCCTCCTCCGCTCCCCAAGACCTTGCTCTGGGCTAGAGAGTGAGGGTCCCAGGGCCAGCCCATGACACCCCACCCATGACAGTCTGGTGACCGCTGACAGCCCTTTCAAGCCACCCCGGAGCTACTTTTTTTAGAGGGGGTCACACCCAGCAGAGCACAGAAACTCTGCTTAGGAATTACTCCTGGCAGGGTTTAGGGGACCAAATGGGGTGCCTGGGATTGAAACCAGGTTGGCCATGTGCCAGGCAAGCGCCCTCCCCACTGTCCTATTGCTCTGGCCCAAAATCGCCCCCGCCAGGACCTTGACCGTCATCGTGGCACCCCTGGATCTCCACAAAGACTGCCCAGAAAAGCGCTGGCAAACTTTCTTTTTTTCCTTTCTTTCCTTTTTTTTTTTTTTTTTTGACACATCCAGCAATGATCAGGGATTACTCCTGGCTCTGCACTCAGGAATTACTCCTGGTAGTGCTCGGGGGACCATATGGGATGCTGGGAATCGAACCCGGGTCAGCCGTGTACAAGGAGGCAAATGCCCTCCCCGCTGTGCCATCACCCAGGTCTCAATGGTGGCAAACTTCCCACCAGCATTCGCTACTGTCAAGAATGACGAGGGCCTGTTCATACACGCAAAAGCTCCCTAAGGGCCTGAAGGAAAAGCGAGTCCCAGGTGGCACGGGGTGTGGCCGAGAGTACGCAGCCGGGAGTTTCCACGAGGAAGGCATCACAGGGGCGTCTGGGACAGGGCAGGGAGCAGCGCAGGGCGTGGCCACGTCACGGCATCTCTCACTCCTTGACCCCTCGTCCCGTTCGCCCTTGCAGGGATGCGGGCAGAGAATGACGGCAACAGCTGCCCTCCCTCCACTCCTAGACTCCCGACACACCTGGGCCCGGGGGTCCGACCCGCAGCACAGCTGAGGGTGTTGAAAAGGGCCCTGCAGGGCTGCCAGCCTGGCTACCCTTAGGGCCTGACACCCACCTCCCCCAGGGCCTGGCACCCACCACCCCCAGGGCCTGGCACCCACCATCCCGTTCTTCTTATGGTAGTAGCTGAGCACAGGGAAGCGTCCACCTTGGCGGAAGGCGGCCACCTTGCGCAGGGCCTCGTCGTCGATGGCCTTGGGCACGATGACGACTGGCGGGTACGAGGGGCAGACGGTAAAGTCCCTGTTGACGTGACTCAGCCGCCATTCATTGGTCTACAAAGCAAAGGAGGTCTCAGAGCTGGCACGAGGGACCCACCAGGCGCTGGCACCACCATCCTCCGGCCACCCACGCTCAGCCCAGGGGACCCCACGGGCTGCTCAGGGGAAGAAAAGACCCAACCTCAGCCTCAACACCTACCCCTGCACTCGAGACCCCCACCCTCCAGAGGCAGAAGCAGGCCAGGCCGGGGACGCGCCTGCCCCGGAGCAAGAGCAAGTCCCCTGCTCAGACGTCCTGCAAGGCTACTGCCTGCTAGCTCTTGCGGGCTCATGGCTAACGCGGTCTGCCTTGTGACAGGCCATCCTGATGAGCCCCGATCCTGCTCCCTTGTCACTCAGCAGGGGGAGCTGGGACAGGCAGAGCTCTGGGTCAGGGCAGCAGCCACAGAGCTTGGGACAGGAAGACGGCGGGAATAGATGTCTGAAGAATGTAACCACCTTTTCCAGAGGACGAAACCCCACCAGAAGCAGAGCAAGTGCCCCTCGGTGCCACCCAGTCCTCAGACACGAGGGCACCTGAGCTGGTGAGTGGCTAGGAGCACTTGACTCCAGAGAACAAGCCCTAGGCACAGGGATCCCCGCGGGAGAGAAGGCCCGATGCCAGAGCACTCCTTTCCGAACCAAAACTGTCACTGGTTGGTTTTTGCTTTCTGGGGGGCACCTGGCGATGCTCCTGGCTCTGTACTCAGGGACCGCTCCTGGTCATGCTCGGGCGACTGTATGGGATGCAGGGAACCAAACCCGGTTCAGCTGCGTGCCAGGCCAGTGCCCTAACCACTGCACCACTTCTCCGGCCCTCCTTCCCCAGATCAGAGATCCTCTGGCACACAGGGTCCCCAGGAGGGAGCATCTGCGGGGTCACTCACCGCCGAGGAATGGAGCTCGAACTCCTGCTCGGGAAGGAAGGCGTGCCAGCCGTCCTCGATCACCTCGAACATGGGCCGGTAGAAGAAGGGGTACATGAGCGTGATGGAGTCCAGGGTGGACAGCGCCTGGCAGGGATAAAAGTATGAGCCCAGGGGAAAGACGCCGGCCACTCTGGGCCAACACTCTCTGGAGCCCCTGCACCGGGTGATTTGGGGAAGCCAGACAGGGCCTGGTGATGCCCCTGATTCCAGTCACGGCAAGTGCTCATACAGTTGGAAAGAAGCCCCCCAAAGTGAGCAGCACAGCCCCCTGCAGGAGCTATGGAAGCACCACGAGACTCGCCGAGACGCCCAATAAGCCCCTTCCCTCCCGCCTTCAGGAACAGCAGGCACGGAAGGCCCCAGCCAGCCAGTCCAACAGGTGGGAGGGAGGCCAAGCGGCCCACCTAGAGCTCAGAGAAGCCGAGCCAGTCTCAGCCAGCACCGGGCAGGAGAGTGGCCCTCCCCGGCCAGCACGCGCATGGTTTGGGCTTGTTTTACCCTCTTGGATGGAGATAAAACTGGAAAATGGAACCACTATTTTTTTTTTCCTCTTTTTGGGTCACACTCAGTGATGCTCGGGGGTTACTCCTGGCTCTGCACTCAGGAATTACTCCTGGCGGTGCTCGAGGGACCATAGGGGATGCTGGGAATCGAACCCGGGTCGCCCGCATGCAAGGAAAACGTCCTACCCACTGTGCTAATGCTCTAGGCCGGAACCACTATTCTTGACGGACACAGGGGCAGGCTTCACCCCATGGATGGTGGGTGAGGATCCTGGCTCTGCCACATGGGCCTCCGGCTGTGGGCAGCAAGCACGCCCAGGTGCCTGTGATGCCATCGTCACTCCACGGCCACATCACACATGGCGCCCCCCACAGAGCTTGGCCGCCCCGAGCCCCAGGCACTGCTCTGCTCTTCCCGATCTGGCCGCCTCAGCCCGCCTCTGTGCCCCTCAGCACAGCCCTCCAGGCCGGCCTTGTTGGGGCAGAGGGCAGAATCCTTCCTGGCTCTCCACTTCTCTGTGGACACACGGTCACTGCTATACACTGGTTGTTGTGGCTCAACCAGGGGCGCTGACAGGTCCCGGATATGATGACTCATCTCCTGGAGAGATGCCAGGACGGGGTGGCTGGACCACCAGATTAAAGCAGTTCTATCTTTAATGTCTTTTTTTCTTTTTTTTTCGGGGGTGGGGGGACGACATCTGGCTTTGCCGAGGGCTTACTCTGGCTTCTGTGCCCAGGGATCACTCCTGGTGGGGCTTGGGGACCATGTTATGCTGGGGATCAAACCCAGGTGGGCCTCTCTGAACCAGTGTTTCACTTCCTGGGGAAATTCTATGCTGTTTTCCAGCACTGCTCCAGCCCCAAACCAGCAGCCAGGAAGTGGCGAGCACAGTCATGACCCCAATATTCTGATGTTGTGACTTTGCTGCCGTTACAAACCTTTCCTTGAAACATATCATTGCAGAAAGAACCAAACCCACTTGTACTTCCAAAAGGCCCTTGAGGCGGCGGGGAAAGGTTCACGGGCTGAGATGCAGAAGGGCCAGAAGATGGGCCAGCACCTGCCAGTCACCTGGCATGGCCAGGCCTGCTACACTGAGCAGGGACACAGGGCCACTCAGCCGGGCACTCACCCTCCCAGGCCCAGCCAATCCATACGCGTGTGGCAGGGACAGTACCTTGGCACCTTCTCTAAGGCCCACCACTCACGAGGGACAAAGCAGGAGAAGACCCTGCTGGCAGGAACAATAGCACCGAGAGGGCAGCAAAGCCCAACGCCCGGGTCAAGGGTCCGAAGTCCCCGAACCAAGGCAGAACACGAAGCAGCTCGGGGCAGCCCAGGTGACTGGGTGTGGCCCATCCCTCATCCCCCCCTCCTCACCGACCCAACTCCTCCCCGATCAGCCCCCTCACCCCCTAGTCCACTCCCCTCCTCCCCTTCCCCCTCCTCAGCAGTCTCCCCTCACCCTTTCACCCCCTACTCCCATGTTCGTCCAGGTGACATGTGGGGAGGGCGGCGCCCCGACTTCCGGAAGCTGCATTTAGCAGAGGCAGAGAGAGAAAAATGCCACATCCCATTTTCTCAGTGCCACAACACCTGTTCCTCTATTTCTAGTCTCTAAAAAAACTTCACAAAATCCAACAGACTTGGGGGAGCCTGGGGAGGTTGGGTCACACACACTCAGCAATGCTCCAGGGCTCACTCCGGGCTCTGCACCCAGGGGCTATTCCTGGTGGGATCAGGAGACCCTGTGGGGGTCCAACCTGCCTGGTCAGCCACGTGTAAGGTAAACATTCCTCCTGCTCTTCTACTAGTTCTGCCCCTACTAACAGATATTTAGGTCTTTCCGCTTTTTGAAGTTAAGACAGTATTTGGGTGGTGGGAGGGTGGCTGCAAAACCCTTATTAGTCTCTAAGGTCAAGAAAAAAAAATTCGGGGGCTAGAGCAATAGCACGGTGGGTAGGGCATTTGCCTTGCACGCAGCCGACCCGGGTTCAATTCCCAGCATCCCATATGGTTCCCTGAGTATCGCCAAGGGTAATTCCTGAGTGCAGAACCGGGAATAACCCTTGTACGTCACTGGATGTGACCCAAAAAAAGCAAAAAAAGAAAAAGAAAAAAAAATTTGGGAGGGGGTGTGTCTCTGTAACAATCTTGAAAACTCTTTAAGCCAAGTTAATCGCTCCTACAGCGGCCACGACTTAAAAAGCAAATTATAAATGTCGAGCAGATTATTGCTAAGATGGTGAGTCGCTTATCAATTTAAATATTAAATTACCCAAGTAAAGTTTCTATTATTTATAATCTGAATAGAGGCCATATTGTTAAGACAAACAAAAAAATGAACCACATCCTGTCCTAAGCAAACTCAGGATAGGGAAAATGAGGTTTATTACAAACAAATACAAGATTATGATATTTGGGGATTTTCACTTGCTCTCAGGGCCAGGAAAGGGCTCAGGGGCTCGATACTTGCTCGGACCCCAGCACTCCCTGGGCGGGGTTGTGGGTATAGGGCAGCCCAGGCTGCCCCTCCCAAGGACGACGCTGCCAGAGGGAGGAGGCAGGCAAGATGGGAGGGAACGAGGCGGTCACAGCTGTAGGAACCGAGACAGCCGCAGCCAGGGAGGGTGGGCTGGTGGCCTAGTGGGTAGAGCTAAGTCAGGCTTGCAAGATAAATAGGAAGTTCTGCAGATGGACGCACAGCAATGAGCACACAATCACCGCCAAGCCGGATGCTTACACATGTTGACTCAGGGCTGGGGAGATGGCACGCGGTGACACTGGCTGCATCCCCAGCGCTCCGTACACGAGCCCCCAGGCCCACCAGTGGTGACCCCTGAACACTGGCCGGTGTGGCCCCAAAGTAAATAAAAAACCTAAAAAAACTGCAGTAAGGCAATGCCGCCCTCCTCCGCCCCAGCGGCCATGAGTGACTCAGGGCCAGGCTTCTCCCTCAGTCATGAAGGCCTGAGTCACAGACTCAGCCAAATGCCTGTCAGGAAGGAAAACTTACACCGAGTCAGAACAGAATGCTCTTGTTTTATTGTGATTTGTCTTCACAGATTTTGCTTCCAGAACACTTACTTCAATGGAACTGGCTATATTCAAAGACTCTTCCATGCCGGGAATATCCAGCTGAATGATCCGAAAATCTTTACATTTTATAATGATGGTCCCCAGAGGGCCCACAAATCTGTAAAAAAAAAATATATATATATACATAATACATAGCAAATCATGCTTAGAAACGTATGCACACAATCACTTCTTTGGAAAGAGAACATAGTTACAACGGCCACATTCGACTTCCTCCTCCCCAGTTATTCTAACCAAGGGAGAATCGAACTTGGATCATCAAAATACGAGCTACCGAGGTCAGAGCGACAGGACAGCGGGGAGGGCATTTGCCTTGCATGTGCCGACCCAAGTTGTATCCCCGGCATCTCATATGGTCCCTGGAGCACCACCAGGAGTAATTCCTGAGTGCAGAGCCAGGAATAACCTCTGAGCATCACCAGATATGACCAAAAAATGAAAACCAACCAACTAATCCGATGACCTACCAGGCCCTGAGAAAACCTGTATTGAAAATGTCTTCAGATACTGAGAGTGACCCTCACTGGGCTGATTCTCTTCACCTAAACGACAGGGGCAAGTATCTGAGACAAGTGCTCAGCAATGGCGGAGAGGTCTCAAAACACACGCAACACTTGATTTCAGATTTTACTTCCCAACTTGCAGTGACTGATTTGAAACATAAGCGTCTCAGGGCGGGGAAGACGATTCCAAGGGCGGGGCACTTGGTCTGTTAGGGGGAGCCCCCCCCAACACACACCAGTACTGCCAGGGCGTGGCCAAAAGCAAGCCTACAGACAGAAACAAAAGTGCCTTTTTCGTGCTCTTTAAAACTCAGTTAAGGGGCCGGAGCAATAGCTTAGCAGGTAGGGCGTTTGCCTTGCACACTGCCAACTGGGTTGAATTCCCAGCATCCCATATGGTTCCCCAAGCACCACCAGGAGTAATTCCTGAGTGCAGAGCCAGGAGTAACCTCTGAACGTTGCCAGGTGTGACCCAAAAAGCAAAAATAAATAAATAAATAAATAATAAAACTCAGTTATGGGGCTGAAGCGGTAGTATAGCAGGTAGAGGGTTTGCCTTGCACGCGGTTGACCTGGGTTCGATTCCCAGCATCCTATATGGTCCCACCACAGGACTAATTCCTTAGTGCAAAGCCAGGAGTGACCCAAAAAAGCAAAAACAAAAAAAGAACCCCACCTCAGTTAAGAACCAGAGCAATGGTATAGCAGACACGGCACTAGCTCTGCACGCGGCTGACCAGGGTTCCATCCCCGGCATCCCACAGGGTCCCCTGAGCCCCACCAGGAGTGATTCCTGAGTGCAAAGCCAGGAGTGACCCCGGAGCCATTGCCAGGTGTGACTCCCCCCCACTCCCCAATGAAAGAGTTAAATAGAAGCCAAAGAGATAGCACAATAGGTAAGGCACTTGCCTTGCACGCAGCCAGCCCGCGTTCAAGCCCCGCGCGCCGCCAGGAGTGACCCCTGAGCAGACGGCCGGGAGTTAAGCTCCGAGCACAGCCGAGTGTGGCCCACGTGCAAACCAAAAGTCGAGCACGCAAGGCAAGCGCCCACCGCTGCCCGTGCTCTCCGCTTCCTCCGGTCACACGCCTGGAAGCTTCTGGGCCTGTGCCAAGGGTGTGCTGGGTCAGTGCCAGCCCGTCCGCTCTCCCGGAGTCACTCTCACTACCGTCTCTTGTGGGCAGGTTTGTAGCTGTACAGCAAAATTCATCCATTCGTGGTTTATGTCATTCGTGGACTGTCCGGCCGGCTGGCTGCCTAAAGCCCACGAAGCCTGTGGTCTGGCCCTGGGCCTGTCGGGACAGACCTGGATGCTAACCACTGTCGCTCCTCTGCCTGGGTCATCTAACCTGTGAGTGATGTTTGGCTTATTTGGTTTGCAGCCCACACCCGGCAGTGCTCAGAGCTTCCTCCTGGCTCTGCACTCAGGAACCACTCCTGGCGGTGCTTGGGGGACCTGGTGGGGTGCCGGGGATCAAACTGGGCTGGCTGGGTGCAAGGTAAACGCCCCACTGAGCGAGTTATAAATGATCAATAGCCACATGGCCCTTGTGGGAAAAAGGGCCCGGGCCCTGGTGAGTACTGAGTCTGTGAAGTCCTTCTTCCTGCCCTGTCAGCTCCATGGCTCTGCCTCTCCTCTGCAGTCTGTGATCCATCTGCACCCCAGTGCCTTTACACATGGGTTCCCACACAGTCCCCACGCCCGTGCACAGCACCGAGGGCCCTCCACTTGGCTGCCTGTTTGCGTTCATCTGTCCCTGAGTATCTTCTAGCTTCCCTGTGATTTTTTTCTTTTTTTTAAATCCACACAGTTTGGTGCATTTTCCAGTTTTCCCTTGGCTACTGATTTCTAATGTCACGCCACTGTGGTGCGTGAGCTAGGTGGGTGCCAGGCCCCCAGGGACGGTCTTCAAAAGCAGCAGCAGCACAAGACAGCCTGGCCATGGGCAGACGGGCTGGGGGTGCACTCTCGGGGCCAGGGAGAGGCTGAGCTAAGGGCCACCGCCTCCCGATGCACCCCTTCACCTCGCTGAAGCCCGGCTCGCACAGAAAGCAGGCGGCCCCTCTGGAATTGGGTGGGAAGTCGGTCAGCTCTGTAAGCAGGGAGCGCCTCATACACACAGCCTCATACTGGCTGCTCTGCAGACTCTCATGCCCGTATTCTCATGTGCGTCAGGTGCAGGGAAGGCGTTAGAATCCTGACTCCCTGTGACTCTCACTTCTCGTGCCTTCTGTTCCGCGACTGTCCTCGAGCACTCTCGGGCTCTCTGTCCTGGGTGCCATCCGCCTGTGACGCTGAGATCTGTCTGTCTGTCTTTCTCTTTCTTCACACCGGCATTGTTCATGGTCACTTTCCTGGCTGCTGCACTCAGAGCTCACTCCTGGTGGGGCTCAAGGAACCACAAGGGATACCAGGGATGGAACCCAGTCGGCCACGTGCAAGGCAAACTGTACTGTTTCTTAGGCCCAAACTACATTTTTCAAGGTTTCTTCCTAACTACTGGCTCCGTGGGCTCCGAGTCTGCTGAGAAAGAGCCGCGAGGGAGGGAGGGCAGGCAGGCAGAAGGATACAGGGGTCACTGGAAAAGAGCTTCCTTTCTCCCTCCCTCCTTCTTCCTCGGTCCGTCCTTCCTTCCCTCCCTCACTCCTCTCTGGTTCAGAAAAAGCACTTTACCTGTGAGATGCACAAGACCCCAGTAAAAATACTGTGAAAACTCAAATTGGGCAGCTCTGGGAGGCAGTACTCTGGCCTGACCACAGGCCTGGCTTCCCATCACAGCCCAAGGTGGGTGTGTGTAAGTCTCCCACATCCCCCTGCTGACGGGAAGGCTGTATCCTGTGTACCTCCTCGAGCCCTGCCAGGCCCCCAGAGGTGACACGGGTGAGTGGGGTAGGAAGAGCACAGAAAATCCACAAGAAGAAAGGTGGGCGGGAGGGCGGCGCGGGGCTCCCTTGGGTCTTCCCATGTGTTAGTGCCTGTCTGCCCTAGCTGCACTCAGAGCTTTTTTTTTTTTAATTTGGGTCACACCTGGCGATGCACAGGGGTTATTCCTGGCTTTGCACTCAGGACTTACTCCTGGCAGTGGTTGGGGGACCATATGGGATGCCGGGGATCAAACCCGGTTGGCCATGTGCAAGGCAAACGCCCTACCCACTGTGCTATTGCTTCAGCCCCCTGCACTCAGAGCTTTGAAGACGGTACAAAGGGCACTAACGGGGGAGCCAGAGTCCAAGGGGAGGGTTGCCGCTTCCAGCCTAGGGCTCACAGAGGCACTTCGCCATGTGCAGCTGAGCATGGGCTGAGTGAAGAGACGAGAGCCGATTCTTCTCTCCAAGGCACCAGAGAGAGAGCGCGGGACAGACCAGAGAGTAAGGACTCAGCAAGGAGGCCACGGGCAGCTGACCCAGAAGCCCGTGGGTCTGACCGTGCAGGCGAGAGGGGCAAAGCGGGTCTCAAGCCCACCTGCTTCGCACCCTCTGCCCTGGCTGGGGGAGAAAAGGCTTTAGCGTGGGGTGGTCACCATGCCCTGCTCCAGGCTAGGGCCAGAGTACAGGGCAGCAGGGGGGCTTTGGATTCTGCTACACTACCAAGGAAAGACAGGAGCTGGGTGCCACCCACCCGAAGACCATAAGGAACACACAGCTTTGCCAGGGAGCAAATTCTGTTCTCCCCCTGCAGAAAAACGGGCCCCCAGGGACCCCTCGCACAGGGCCCAGGGGCCATCCAGGTATCCCGCACCTCCAATCCCACAAAAAAGGGTGTTAGAAAGAGTGAAAAATAAATGATAGGGACAGGAGCAATAGTGCAACTGGGAGGTGTTTGCCTTGCACGCGCCCGGCATCCCATATGGTCCCCTCGAGAATCACCTGGAGTGATTCCTGAGTGCAGAGCCAGGAGTAACCCCTGAACACTGCAGGGTGTGACCCAAAAGGCAAAAAGAGAGAGAGAGAGAGAGAGAGAGAGAGAGAGAGAGAGAGAGAGAGAGAGACCTCCTGATCACCTCCATGGTGGGAGGTTCAAAGTAAGGACCCAGGTTTGAGGGGGAGGGAAGGACTCTGGCATTTTTTGAGTAGGGGAGAAGGTTTCCTGGCAGGACTGCGCCCAGATGGCTGGGCTGAGGGTCATCCTAGGGACAGCAGGCTGCAGCCTGCCCCTAACCATTATGGACACTGGGAGGCCACGAGCCAGGATGCTCCTTAGAAGAGAGGAGAGGCTGTCCTGTCCTGTCCTGTCCAGTCCCAACGCTCCCACGCTTGCGTCCACCCTGGGGCCAAGACTGGCCATCTTGCACTCATGTTAAAACCCCAGCCATCCCTGCTGGCGTCCGGTGTCCCCACGTCCAGCCAGGTGCCCCCACGCTCATATCTAGCCCACGCCCTCGTGTCCAGTTCCGCGTCCAGTCTGCTCCCCCGTCCTCCCCGGCTGTCCCTGCGCCCCCACATCCAGCCCAGCGTCCAGCCCGGAGACCCTGCGTCCAGCCCGCACCCCTGTCCAGCCCCGCGCCCCCGTCCACCCTGGCCATCCCCGCGTCCAGCCCGCACCCCGCATCCTCCCGTGCCCCTGTCCAGCCAGCGCCCGCGTCCACCCGTGCCCCCGTCCAGCCCGCGTCCAGCCCGGCCCGCGCACCGCTTCTCGAGGGCGTCGATGTTGGCGTGCAGCAGCCACAGCTCCTCGGTGCTGTCCTGGCGCGAGGACAGGATGAGGTGGTGGCCGGTCAGGCACAGCGTCCCCTCCACGGCCGGGTGGAAGGGCCGGTGCAGCACCACGTTGTCCACCCGCGGCGTCTTGATCAGCTCCGCGAACTCCATGGTGGCCGGGCGGGGCAGGGCGGGGCAGGGCGGGGCCGGACTGACCCCTGGAGTTGGGGATGGTCACCGGGGTAGAGGATAACCACTGGGGCAGCGGGGAGGCCGGGCAGGGTCGGGGGTGACCACCGGGGTCTGGGATGACCACTGGGGGTCGGGGATGACCACTGGGGCGGCGGGGAAGGCGGGCGGGGCCGGGAGTGACCACCGGGGTCGGGGATGGCCACTGGGGGCCCGGGGGAGTCCGGGCAGGTCCGAGGGTGGCCACAGAGGCAGGGGAGAAGCCGGGCGGGGCCGAGCAGGGCCGAGGGGCGGCCACCGGGACCGGAGAGGCCGGGCAGGGCCGAGGCCTGTGTCCACCACCGTCGCCGGCCGCGGGGACACGGCGCTGGGCAAGGCCGCAGCCCTCGGCCTGCGCCTCGTACCCCGAGACGCCCGCGATTGGCCCCACCGGCCGGGGAGGGGCGGGGGCGGCGCTGACCAGTGACCAGGAGCGGCCGCCGCGGCACCAGGCACCGAGTCCGCGTCTCTGGGGACTCCTGGCGGAAGTGGACGCTCGCCCCGGGAGATGGCGTCACTCCGGGCGGAAGCGGCGGGCGCGGGCCGGAAGTGTGCTTCACGCGGGTGCCGGTCGCTTCGGCGGCCGTCGGGAAACGGATAGCCTGAGCCTTTTCGTTCCGCCTGGGCTTGGCTTCGGCGCCCACTTGCCCACCAGTCGGCCGAGGAGGGGAACCCGGACTGATAAAGATGCGCTTCCCCTCCCCGAGGCCAGGGCAGGCGCGCCGTGGGTCTGGGTTGGGACTTGCCGCACGGGCCGCAGCACCCTGACCCCAGTGACTTGCTACAAAGCCTCAGCCTATAGCCGAGTCCGAGCTCCTGCAAAACCCTGGGGGCCAAGGCGTGCGGACCTCTCCCCACCGCCTCCACGTTACACACATGGTGCCAGAGCGACACCCGCACCGATGCTCCCTGCCTGCCACCTCCCTCCCAGTGTCAAGAGCATTTTCTTTTTATTTAGTTATTTCCATTTATTTATGTATGTATGTATTGCTTTTTGGGTGTCACCCTGCAATGCCCAGAGGATTACTCCCGGCTCTGCTCTCAGGAATTACTCTTGGCTGTGCTCAGGGACCCTATGGGATGCGGGGGATGGAACCTGTACGGTTTTGGGGGCGGTTTTGGGGAGTTTTTTGTCTTTTTTTTTTCTTTTTGGGTCATACCTGGCAATGCACAGGGGTTATTCCTGGCTCATGCACTCAGGAATTACTCCTGGCGGTGCTCAGGGGACCACCAAATCAAACCCGGGTCGGCTGCGTGCAAGGCAAACATCCTACCCACTGTGCTATCACTCCAGCCCCGGAACCTATAAGGTTTGCTTGGACAAAACGACAACTGGGACAAAATTATGACCAGCTTACAAGACAGCAATATTCCTAGAACCAGAGATCACCGTGCCCTCTGTACAACAGACAGGACTTATGGTCCACCAGGCGCCAGGAGGCCACCACGTTGCATTCCAGGTTCTTCACCATCCGCCATCCCCCCCCACCGCCCCACCCCCCCACCCCGTGGATAATGAGTCCAGACCATGCACACCGGTTCCTCTGGTCCCCTTTTCCTGCCTGACAGCTTATTTGGTTGTCTCCTATTTCCTTCGCTTTATTCTCTCTGTCCCTCTGTCTGCGCCAGACAGGGTTCCCAAATCATTAAGAAACCAGCTGAGCCACTTGCAAGGCGAACACCCTCCCCACTGTGCTATCACTTGGATAAGCATTGGGATCCGCACGTGAAGTGCTTAGTGTTGGTGAAAGCTGCAGAGCAACCAGAAGGACCGGCTCGGGTGCCGTGAGGTCATTCAGGACGGGTCCCTGCTTCTGTCCTTGACCGTCCCAGACGATCCCTTCCTACAGCAATGCTGTCTAGGTCAGTCTGCAAGGTGGGAACAGCCACCGGAAGGGGATAAGTGATATAGAAAGCTGATTTGGGGCCCGAGGACTGTCATGACCCTTCCTCTATGGGTATCCTTCTAACAGTTACCAACAGTTGCAGGTCCGGGAAGACATAAACTTGTTAGCCCTGAGAGAACAGTGTTCTGTCATGCAGAACTGTTAGGGCAAAGCCATAGGAAGTGACTTAAAAATTACATCTCTGGAATTGAAGCTCAAAGCCGGGGCAAGAAGGCCCTGGGAGAAGCGGCCTTGGCCTCCGTGGCCAGGAGCAGAGCGGGGCACGCAGTGCACCGTTTGACCAGCAGGTGGCAGTAGAGGCCGGCAGAGCAGCCGCCGCCCGCTGTATCCCGCTGGTCACTGCCCTCTCTCCCCCCCCCCCCCCCCAACTGGCCGCCTAGGGGGCTGATCAGCTGCAGCAGGTGGTAGCATTTTGGATGCATGTGAAGCACGCAGCGCCCTGCAGGTCTTTCCTTTTAAATCCGGCTTCCAATGAGATCACCAGTAGTGTGATACGGAGCTACCCTCTAGCTTCCAGTTCCCTGGCCGCCTTGGCCATCGTACTCTGGACAGGACGCGGCTTCTGCCCTCTAACTGTAAGCACAAAAGCCAGGGAGCCTACAGCCTCCCCAGGGCCCCGGGAACAGAATTCTGGAGCAAGTCCGGATTGTGGAGGCTCAGATCCCATTCCTGGTTTCACACTTTCTGTCCAAGCCCCTCTGAGGTCAGCATGCAGCTGGCCAGCTGTGTCAGAGGTGGGGAAGATGCAGGGATGTGCTGTGCCAAGGCTTGCTCTGTCCACCGTCCTGGGCTCCCCCGCTTCTTTGCCACAATCAGGCAACCCTGCAAATTCTCCCTGCAATGGGTCCAGCCCCGCCCTCCCGGTCCCTTCTCCCATGGGCCACCCTTCTCCTGTTTACCTGTCCCGGAGTCCTGCTTTCCTTCCCTCTCCAAACCCTTTCGACACCCTCCCCCTCCCGTCCTCCCTAGCCACCTCAAGGGCCCATCAACCCCCTTCTTTGTCCTTCCCAAGTCACCATCCTTAAATGGCCTGAAGTTTCCATTGTGACTCTGCCCCCATGGAGATGCAGTGACTCTGCTCCCACCGATGCCCGCTTGGAAAGGGCCTAGATGCAAGGGTTGGAGTCAGAGCACTGCAGGAAGGCCCCCGGCCTTGCACGTGGCCGACCCAAGTTTCATCTCTGGTGACCCAAGTTTCATCTCCGGTGTCCCAACTGGTCCCCTGAGCCCCATCAGGAGTGGGTGAGCACAGAGTCAGTAGTAAGCCCGGAGCACTGCCAGGTGTCACCCCCCCCAACCCCCAGTTAAAAAAAATACAAACTCTGTAGGCAAGGGCAGAAAAGAGCCCTGCAGCAGGCAAGGGACACTGACATTCACCCGGCCACAGAAGGAAAGTTCTGGAGATAAGGGTGTGGTCCCTGGGGTCTGTGTTCAGATCCTACAGCCTCAGTGGCCACAGACCCCGGGCCAGGCACCCCCTGGCAGTGAGCCAGTCAGAAGAGCAGGAGCTGATATTTGCCAAGAGGGCAGGTGAGCAGGAAGAGGAGCTGTGTTGCTTCCTGAGCAACGCCCCCCACCCCCATGCAGCGGCCAGATAGCCCTCATCTCAGCGCATGTGGGGCCCAGCCCGCTTCGGTCTCAGGGTGCACGGAGGCATGGCCAGCAGAAAGCCCGTCGAGAAAGGCCGGCCGCCTCCATTGCCCCCAGAGCTGCCGTGGCATCACCGCCACTGACTCTGTAGAGTCTCCCCAGAGCCACAGCCCACGCAGAGTCATGAGCCAGGCCTCCCTCCATGTCCCTGCCATGAACAGCGGGGCCCACATGTGCACGGGCTGGGCTGGGGTCCGGAGAGGGAGGAGCAGAGCGAGCAGGGGAGAAGTCATCGGCGCCTTCTCGGTAAAGCGCCTTTCCGCTCATAGCCATAACAAACTAGAAGATGCAATTACGCATAATTGGATATAATTAAAATAAAGAGACATGTCTGAAATAAAGGCGTAATTAAGAAGTGGGAAGATTAAGTAGGTGGGAATGTCAGCGGTGCTAATTCAGAGATTGCTGTTGGGGGTTTGTTCTATTGTGGTGGGGCCTAATGCGGGGTCAGCCCAGCTGGGCTGCATGGCCTCTCCCAGCCCCCGCACAAAACCTAAACGCAAGCAGAAGGACCTGTGGCCACCCCGGGCGGACCAACAGCAGCCAGCAACAAGACCCGGTGTTGGATCAGTCCCCTCAGGGCAGACACTCAGGAAGGCGTGTGGGGCAGTGACCAGGGGCCGTCCAGATGCTGAGGGCCACTGTCCCATGGTTCCGAGGGAAACTGCCTTTCTTGGGAGCTGCTGGAACATGGAGGCGGTGCTGCTCAGCTCCTGCAGCTTCTTCCACGCGCCTCCCAGCCACATGCTTGATCTCTCATTACCTGCCACATCGATTCATCACCTATTAACAAGGAGCGAGACGCAGCCGTGCCCCCTCACAGGCAACTGCTTCCTGGGTGAAAGGTCAGGTATCTGGGGTGCTATCCTTGCAACTTCTCCACCGTCAAATATTTTTCAAAACTAAGGGTTATAAACTATCCAAATAGAAATTGTACAATCATGTCCTCGCTAGGCCTGCGGCTGATGGTAGGTGTGGGCAGGCCTGGGGGGACACTTTCTGGGGCCAGGGGCTCCTAGGGTGGACACTGGGCTGGCAGGCTCAGTCCTGCTGCTGTGGCCTTTGCTGCAGGGGCTGAGGTCCCGGAGAGCTGGGACCTGTGGGAGGGAGAGCCCCCTGTCGCCCCAGGGTCCTCAGACCCTCGAATCCTGTCCTCCGGCCACCTCTGCTTCCTCACTTGCCCGGGGCTCCAGGGCTTCCCCCCTAAGTGCCGTTATCATGGGGGGGAAACGTGAGGTGCAGCAGGGGCCAGCTCGGAGGATTTGCTGGAGCTATTTCTCTGGATCTGGAGAGTCTGTCTCCATCTGCACTCCCACACACTCTTGCACGTACACACACACACACACACACAGACATGCACACACAGAGACATGCACACACATAGACAGGTACACATTCTCAGACACACTCAGAGACACAGATAGATGCACACTCACACACAC